TTACCAAACATGGTGTCCTTCTCGAGGGACTGTAAAGGTTCTAGCTTTAAAAGCCCCTATCAGGCAGTTCTAGTCTGTCCTGTAAGGCCACAGAGTCAGAATTGACTCAATGGCACTGGTTTGGTTTGATTTCATTAATAAATAATCTTAGGATTTAAAGTCAGATGTTTAAAATCTTAGGCCATCTATATATTCTGAACTTTTGTTAGTATTTTGCTGCTTTTATAACATACATTTTAAAATACATTTCAGATTTTGAACTTAGGCAAATTATATGAAGATAGTAGAAAGTCACTGTATATTTCTATTTTTATAAATTAGTCACTTAAATAATGTATGCACTTTTATGCCTCGTTTTTTTGGGGGGGTGCCGATTTTTTAATGATGTGTTTAATACAAAGGAGTCACTTAACTCTTGAGAAAATCAGCATCGAATATGTTGCCAAGAATAGGATTTAATTACTTTATATTGAATTCAGTTGAGAAAACTTCCATTCAATGTAAAATGTATTTCCTATTTGCAAAACTAGAGTTTTCTCTCTAATTTCTTGTCCAGATTTTTATAAATAAAATGCATTGCTTCATTGAAATCTTAATGATTTTTCCATTGGAAATTCAAGCAATCAATGTTTTTAAATATTTAAGTATCTAGAACACAATCAGTTTTGATTTAAAATAAAGCTACTATTTGTTTTACATTGTGGTATTTACATTTTAGAAACAAACTTTGCCTGTATTTAGTTGATAAGATTTTTAAAATAACTAGACCATAGATACAAATAGTCTTCTGCAGTATATTGGAAGAAAATGAAGCGGCATTCATAGGTCCCTTTTTATAGTTACAGTAAAATTCATTGTAGAAACTATATCTGCAGAAATAAATTGTGCAAAACAATATACATGTAACATTTACATTTTTAAGAACCAGAAAATACAGCGTTCTATGTCATTTTAAATAGGAGACCACCGTCCTATTTCAGTCAATAGGTTTGATCATCATCCGGACTGCTCTCAAGGAGTAGGACCCTCCTCTGTATTCAGCCCAAAAAATTCCATCTTGGTGTTTGCTTCTGTAGTGTCCTCCTCTGTACCATACTCCATTTAAGTTAGAATGTGCACAGGCATTGTACCACCAGCCTCCTTTATGAAAGTGGGCACAGTTTCCTTAGAGGAAAAGAAATGAAGATGTCAGAATAAAAGTTAATCTAAACATGGCATCCCATAAACAAGGAAAATGTACTCCTCCTTTGGAACAATTTAATTCTAGCTTCTCTTTTCCTGATTTCAGTTACCTTTATCTTTGTAGTTTTTTTTTTTTTTTTTTT